AACTTGCATTCTTGATTACAGCTTTCTCGTTCCCTATCGACTGGCTCTTAAACAGTAAGAAATGCATTTTACATCATGACTCACAATGCACACATACATATGTACATGCACAGATATAACATGAATAAAAGTTGAATAAAATGTTGCTTCATAAAAACAACATGCATCTTTACTGTGTCTGTTACCCTCTGACATCTTCTCTTGGATTTCATCTTTTGAAAAATGCTGATATCAACACTCTAAATGAAATTTACTGTCCTCCAGTGGGTCATGTGACCTGCAGTTTGTGACAACTTGAAAGAGAGATAAAATGCAGTCAGTCTTCATGCATTCAGTATCTGGCCCTAGCCTCCCATCCCATAACCCAGCCAGCAATAAAGCCCACGAAACTTCGCGCTGTTACCCAAACACACCATTCATTCGTTCCTTCATTCATTCAACATTTACTGTGTGCATGTTTGGTACCAGGCACATGGTAGGCGCTAGGGATCCAGAGAAAAATGTCATGGTCTCTACTTGGAGGTCCATGGTCCGGTGGAGAGACAGATCTAACGCTTATGAGGCAGTGAGTGGTCCTATAATGGAAGTCTGCACAAAGCCCTCAGAGAACACAGAGATCATAGCAGGTAACTTGGACCAGAGTCCAGGAAGTCTTTCAGGAAAAGGTGACCCATGAAGCTAGAAACAGAGGTAGGAGTTAACCTGGCCAGTGGAGACAGGGCATTCCGGAAGAGGAAACCACCTTGGGAAGGCATGGGGTCAGGAGCATCATGAGAACTTAAACAATGGAGTTTTTTGTTTTTGCGGTACGCGAGCCTCTCACTGTTGTGGCCTCTCCCATTGTGGAGCACAGGCTCTGGACACGCAGGCCCAGCGTCCATGGCTCACGGGCCCAGCCGCTCCGTGGCATGTGGGATCCTCGCGGACTGGGGCACGAACCCGTGTCCCCTGCGTCGGCAGGCAGACTCCCAACCACCGCGCCACAAGGGAAGCCTGGAAAGCTCTTTTGATCGGAGAATGGAGAGGCATAAGCTCCGGCTCTAGAGCACACACACTCCCCGACAGGCCGCGGGCAGGGTTGCTTTATAGGGCGGGGCGGGGGTGGGGGGAAGAGGCGGAGCTCTCGAGCGGTAGGCGGGGCTGCACGGCTCAGGCTCCAGATCATCACGGTGCTGGGCGCAGACTCTCTGCACACAGCCCGCCACCGCCATCTTGAATCACATCTTTCGTGCGTCGTTCCGTGCTCGGCGCGTCTGCACACGGTCCCGAGCCGAGGTGTCAGCAGGGGGGCTCTGCACCAGGAACTTTGGGCCGAAGGGCTGGTGTGAGGCCTCTGCCCGTGGCTCCCTGTGAGCAAGTGAAACTAGACGAAGCGCCAAGGCGAAGAAAAAAGGTTAGAGTTTATTTCATTACCTAGATACTATTTTTATTCCCTGGGAATTGTTAATGGGCTCTGCCAGTGACAGTTACATCTTTAGGGCACTTTACAGTTTACTGTTACATTTATTTTATTTTTATTTTTATTTTTTTTGCGGTATGCGGGCGTCTCTCTGCTGTGGCCTCTGCCGTTGCGGAGCACAGGCTCCGGACGCGCAGGCTCAGCAGCCATGGCTCCCGGGCCCAGCCGCTCCGTGGCATGTGGAGTCTTCCCGCACCGGGGCACGAACCCGCGTCCCCTGCATTGGCAGGCGGACTCTCAACCACTGTGCCACCAGGGAAGCCCAAGATTATTATTTTTGTTTTGTTTTGTTTTTGTTTTTGTTTTTGTTTTTTGCAGTACGCGGACCTCTCACTGCTGTGGACTCTCCCGTTGCGGAGCACAGGCTCCGGACGCGCAGGCTCAGCGGCCATGGCTCACGGGCCCAGCCGCTCCGCGGCATGTGGGATCCTCCCGGACCAGGGCACGAACCCGTGTCCCCTGCACCGGCAGGCGGACTCTCAACCACTGCGCCACCAGGGAAGCCCCCAAGATTATTTTAATATAGCCTTTCCTTATAACCAGAATACTCAGCTGTCTCTCCCCTTGGGGCCCCCCCCTCCACTTTCTTTATTGGCCAACCATCACTCTGTGTTCCGTCTCCCACTGAAAGATCCTCTCCCTGGCAGCTTTTCCCCGCCCCCAGGTAGCCTCAAGCACACCCTGCTTTGGGCTCTTGCCCCCTTCTCCTCACACTTCTGAGAGAGCTCTTCTTATGTCGAAGGCAGCTCATCACCGTCCCGCTCCTCAGTCTCACCAGAGTAGGAGCGAGCGCCTCAAGGCAGAGCCCAGTCTCATCCTTCTGTCTTCTGTGATGAACACAGTAAATGTTAACTGAGTGCAGAGATGAACCAGCAAAGGGGCAGGGAGACATACAAGCCACGGGCACAGGTTTAAGGCGAAGCAGCTTAAATGAACACATAGAGGACTTTTTCGCATATCACAGCATGTTGTTTCAAGACTGAGGGTGACCTCAGATATTAGAAGCCTGCTTATTTACAGATATGGGGACCACACTTTAAATGTTGAGGCACACATTTTACATGTTGAGATGTAATTATCTTCTGCACTGTTTTTTTGTTTTTTGGGTTTTTTTTTTGCAAAGGATTATTTTTGACTTTTAGAGAGTACCTCTTTTTCCTTCTAACTTCAAAGTATCTTGGTAGTGGAATTTCTTAGTTATTAATACAAAAGAAAATCTGACATCAGAGGCAGTACACACCCACTTCCCCTAGTGCACAAGTAGCCTATCATCTCTAAGCATACATTTAACCCAAATTGCCTTTCCCAAAAAGGCTTTTACAGGAAGCAACATTGACTTCTAATTCTTATTTTCTTTTGCCTACTTTCTATTTCCTGTGCAAATGGCCTAGGAGTTGTTGACAGGAGAATAATTTGAGGTGTGGAATCTCATCAGTCAATGCTATAATAACTCAAAAAAAGTCTGATGTATTTTTTCTTTGCAGGTAATTTTTATGGGATGGCCATAGTATTTGATAATTACTTTGAAACAGAACACTGGATCTGGATGAGGATAGTGCCTTTGAAAAAGCTTTGTTAACATAAACATTGTAGAAATAGGTACAGTCAGGGTATCAATCATACTTTTACTAGGAGTGAGAGAACAAGTTTCACGTTCTGGCTGGACTTTTCATTGTTTATAAAACCTTAGAGGGTCTGTTTCATACGTGATGGATTTGTCATGATCAAGATGTGATTTTGAGCTGAGAGTTTCTCCCTTTAGTTGCTAAAGTTTAATACTGTCAAACCCCTTTGTCCTTCATGCAGAATTCAGTGGGAGCTCAAAAGAGGAGCATCCCCCAGATGAGCTGTGTGCTGCCCGCACACCTGTCTCCCTCTCTTGAAATAATGATCAGAATTAGTGGAAAGAAAGGAGGACATGCCTTTTGCAGAGACACTGTTGTCACAGTTGTTTATGTCAGGCTTGTCTTTGTCTCTTTTCCTATCTTAAAACTCTTAGAGCCCTCTCTCACCTAGCGCCTTGCATCCCCACCTAGCCCATCAATAGTGTGACCTTGTTTATGTAGATCTGCCTGTTAGTGTTAATTAGTGCTTGCAAGAACTGTATTGTCTGATCCCCTGAACACTGTGTTCACACCCAGTGTTTCAGTGAATTCCGTGTTTCAGTGAGGAACGTAATACATGTGTTTATTAACCCTGATTCGCCAGAGCAGGAAGCAGTGAGTGAGTCGCTTGCTGTATGTGTGCCCCGCCTTGCCTTCACAGCCCTGTACCCGCTAGGAAGTCTATGCATAAAGAGCCAGAGCTCTGTATTTCCTTATTGCCTAGTAGTATCTGCTAATCCTCAGAGATGAGTGAATAGGTGTCATTTCCCCCCATGATGTCTGCCATTCCTCCAGTTTTGCCAGCTTCTGGCTTTATCTCTTCCCCTTTCTAACTCATTTGACTGTCATATTGGTCCATCGTAGTCTGAGTTACAGCATTTGGCACTGACCCCCAGATCAGGGAATCCCTATGGAAAAAGTGGGTGGGCTGGATTCTCCTCCATTGCCGGCACCTCCTTGACCTGACCCCATTTTCTGTGGGTGCTTTGAATAGTATCTGATCCTTACATAGTGCTTACTGCATACCAGGTAGTATTCTCACACAGATGAAAAAGGTGCTGTTATCATCATCCCTAGTTTACAAAGGAGGAAATTGAAGCTCGAAGTCCCATGGCTAGTAAGTAGGGGATCAGAGGAGTCTGTCTCCATGATCTGGGCTCTTAAACCTTTCATCTCCACTGTTCTCCATCAGTGATTTACCATGATCATTGAGTATAATAGCAATAGATGATGGAACTGAAAATTCGAATAAAGTGTGCTCGTTATACGTGAATCGGAATTGCCTTTTAATGCCTTTGACCAGATCAAACATTGTGGGGATAGAAAAGTAGATGTGGAAAGAAGCTGGAAGTATGGATAGAGAGAGACAGTGTAGGGAGAACAGTATTTGGGGATGAGGAAACTATATATCATGTGACTAGAGATGTTAACTCTAACAAATAGTATGGCCAGTGAAGAATGTGAGCATCCCAAGCTGTCTGTTCTGCTTCTTTGAAACATTCTGATGCCCAGACAGAGGATGTGGGGGAAGAAATGACAGAATTCTTAGAACTGTTAAATGATGACACGTCTGATACTAGAGTGAAGGATAAAAGCTCATGAAAGAATCATGAGGGACACATACATACTTTATTCAGTTCCATAAAGATGACAGCTCATTCTTTGAGTCGTAAGCCTGCTTACTAAGTTTGGAGTTGATAAAATGCAGCAGATTTAACTTGTCTTACCGCATTCAGCTGCATTTGTTAAAACACAGACATTCAACTTGGGTGGCTCTTTAGCTGGGTTTGTTTTACTGAAATAAAATCCCTGGCACACGATAATGGGAAAAAAAATCCAGAGTTTCATCATATGCAGTGTACTGTTTTCTGCACTGGAGAATCTTGAGTGCTTTGGAAATAATAAGTCTGTTTCCACAATTTCCTGCTCTCCACTAGGTTCTTGGAACGCCAAATGAGGACACGTGGCCTGGAGTTCATTCTTTACCACATTTTAAGCCAGGTATGTTTCACTAATTACAAATGACTAAGTGCTTCTGCTATGAAAAGGGTGAATATATAAATATTCCCCCTCGAGCTAATATATTACCTGGGAAAATTCTGGTTACTTTTGCCATTGTGTATTCAACCTCTTATTGGAGTTGTCCTTTGGTTTTCACAGTTTATTTGTTGGCAAAGATAGACTGAATGACAACCCTCGTGAGAGTTTTTCACCCTATGTTCTTCGTTTGATTTGACTGGCTAATCTTGAAGTAACCTTTCATTTCATCAGCAGTTAGACTAGCATCCATGTCTATAAAGACAAACTTTAAATCAAGCTACTGTAATCCATCTGTGTGACTTCTAGTAATAATACTAGGGAAAGTATTACATTGTAAAAAGGAAAAATCATATTTTTATTTATTTTTTAAAACTCTAGTAATACATGATCAATTAATTTGAGTTTAAACATATAAAATGTTCTGTATGTTCAACATTCCATCTTTTTTAATGTTAAATATTTAAACCCCTAAACCAGAAAATCTGAGGGAAAATGCAGAACTTTTATATAAAATAAGTTGTCACTTTTTTCTTACCGGTAGGTGGCAGTCAAGAAACTTTCAGTTTTAATAATTATGCTTAATGGAAGAAGAATCTCAAAATGGGCTATTTAATTTTTATAGGAGGGATGAAAGGTTTGGAATTTAATAAAAATTAGTGGAATGAATTATTGTAAAATAATCTTTTTGTTTTTTCTTCTTTTCTTGTTTACAAAACATGGATTATAAAATGCAGACCTACCATTAAATTACTGAAACGGATTTTATGGAAGATCTAATAGTCCATTATTTTATGAGGGAAAAGAGCTATGAATAATTACTGTTACAGGATCCAAGTATATTCTTTTTCTCTCCTTCCTCTCTTTTGGGGGACCATCAGGAATAAGTTATCAATCCCAAAGAATGACTGAGTTTAGAAACTATTGTTACTCTTAATATTTTTCTTCTGAAAGTATACCATGTGCTGAGAATTCTTTTATTTTCTTTGGCTGCCCCAAGGACCCTTTGCACTTTTACTGAAAATTCTAAATAACTTCTGTGTTATGAAAGACTATAGATACTTAATTTAAGATGGATTTTTTTTCTTTTTCTTTTTTTTTAACTAAACAAGAAGCATCCTCTAAGTGCTCTCACTAATGGATTTTAAGTGAGAACACAGCTCTTTATAAACGTTCCAGGTGTGGGTTCATAAAGAAGCCTAACTTCCTCATGTTAATATCTAAAATCTTAAGTCCTACGGAAATAAAGCAGAGGAGAATATGAAAAGGGTGTAAATGAATAAAGTTGATGCAGAAAGGAACAATTAAGATAGTCATTTGGCCCACCAAGTTTCTAGAGGAGAAAACATGGAGTATTTGGTTTATTTTGGTGTGAATAGAATTTATCTTAATAAGCAACACACAAAAGCATTTTTTAAATGTGTCTGGAAAGTACTATGATGTAATGCAAATTGAACTAACAGATTGGGAACTTCATGAGATCAGAGGCTGTGACTAGTATGTATTTTGGTTCAATGAATGTCTGCTGCTCTGAATTTTATTGAATGTTTAAAACACATTATTTATGTGACTCTTCTGGTAGGCATATATAAATTAGGGTGTGTGTGTGTATATATATATATATATATATATATAAGTTATTAATATTATGTACAAGTGCAACCACAGACACATAATATATAAAAGGTAATGGGGGTCCAAAAGAATAACGTGTTTAGATGAATGTAAGGCATGGGTGCTGACTAGCAAAAAAGATACTCCAGGCAGTGCTTGGTGCTTGTGGATGAGAGTAGATGTGGTAAATGCTTCCTGAGTTGCCCTGAGAGGAGTCAAGGAGAGACAAGATAATAGACTGAGGCAAAGGGAGCAAATCTACGAGCCTTTTCATGCAGCACTTAAGCAGACCCATCAGGGGAGTGCTGGGGAAGAAGATACACGTTCCCAGAGGAGAAAATATTAGTGCCAGGGTCCACCTGTCCCACCCCACTTTCCACCTCCTTATTCTACCCCCAAAGAGTGCCTTAGAAAGTCTGAGGGAAAAGAAGAAAGTCTGAGCCATGAGGACATAGTTTTTTTGCTTTGCTTGATAGACTTCATTTTTTAAGAGCAGTTTTAGGTTCATAGCAAAACTGAGCAGAAGGTGCAGAGATTTCCCATACATCCCCTGCCCTGACACATGTGCAGCCTCCCCCCTTATCAACATCCGCCACCAGAGTGGTACATTCGTTACAGTTTGATGAACTTAAGCTGACACATCATTATCACCCAAAGTCCATAGTTTACATTAGGATTCGTTCTTGGTGTTGCACATTCTATGGTCTGTACAAAGTATAATGACATTTATCCACCATTACAGTATCACACAGAGTAGCATCACTACCCTAAAAATCCTCTGTGTTCTGCCTCTGTGTTCTGCCTCCCTCTTCTCTAAGCCCTGGCAACCACTAATCTTTTTACTGTCTCCATAGTTTTGCCTTTTCCAGAATGTCATATAATTGGAATCATCTGAAAGGATGTTGCCTTTTCAGATTGGCTTCCTTCATTTACTAATATGCATTTAAGGTTCCTCCAGGTCTTTTCATGGCTTGATAGCTCATTTCTTTTTACCACTGAATAATATTCCATTGTCTGGATGCGCCACTGTTTATGTATCCATTCACGTACTGAAGGACATCTTGATTGTTCCAGGTTTGGGCATTTATGGATAAAAATGCTCTAAACATCACTGGCAGTGGGTTTCAACTCTTTTGGGTAAATACCAAGGAGTGTGATCGATAGATGGGAAAAATTATACTTTGTCCAATTTTTGAGTAGATAATAAATTTAAGCAATTCAAAGTATCAAACCATATAAAAAAGGAGCACAGTACTAAGCCTCCCCACCCTGTCTGCCACCTGCCTACTTCCCCAGAACGATTGCCCCAACCACAGGCCCCCACTTATTAGTTTCTGTTATGTTTCTTTCCTTTATGTAAATGTAATAAATTATGAATATATATTTTCATAGTTCCATATTAAAAACAATTTTGGGTCTTGCTTTTCTCATTAATGCATCCTGTAGGTCCTCTCATGTCACTGTATAGAGGAGGCCAGTGTGGCTTCCCTCTTTTCCTGCAGCCACATTGTTTTACATTGTATGGATTTAACCTGTCCCTACTTATGGACATTTGGGTTGTTTCCAGTGTTTTTGCCATTATAAATATTATAACCTGTATACACACACATAAATAGGCGCATCACATCTGTACAAGTATATCTGAAGGATGAATTACCAGAAGTAGGGTTGAAGAATTAATAAGTATACAGTGACCCTTGAACAGCACGGGTTGAGCTGTATGGATCCATCATACGTGGACTTTTTTCATTAATACCCACTACAGTACTCCATGGCGGTTGATTGAATCAGGGATGTGGAACCACAGATACCAAGTACAGACTATAAATTATAGGCAGATTTTCGACTGCAGAAGAGTCAACGCCCCTACCTCCTGTGTTGTTCAGGGGTCAACTGTATACAATTATACTTTTGAACACTTCTGTCAAATTGTTGTCCAAAAGGATGGTACCAGTTGGCTCTGTTACCAGCAATACATGAGAACGCTTCTTCTCCACTCCACGCTTCTTCTCCACTCCAAACTTTTCAATTTTGCCTGTTAGGTGACAAAAAAAATCTTAATATAATTTAAATTTACATGCTTCTTTTATGACGAGGCTGAGCATCTTTTCATATGTTTCAGGATCACTTGTATTTCCTTTTCTGTGAGCAACTAGTATCTTTTGCCAATTTACAGTAGAGTTACGTGTCATTTGTCATATTCTTACTAATTTCTAGGGGTTCTTTATATATTAGAGAAAGTATCATTTTTCTATAAACAAGTTTTGCTTCTCTGGAATTTTAAAAAATGACTCTAATTTTTAAGGAATTTTGAAAGTAATCCTCACTCTCATATCTTACTAGTCTTGTTTAACTTGTTTTGCCTCAAGAGAAAAAAATTCTGTGTTGGCTTAGAACAATTGTTAAGATTTTAAAAGAACAACTAGATAACAACTGGGATTGATTCTTTAGAATTTAGCCTGTATGTGTCCTCTTCTGCACTTATATTTATGCTGACACAAAATTCCTTAACTTCAGCTTATTCCCATAGCAACCAGGCAGCTGGGACAGGCCACAGCTGCATAAAATAAATAAATATATGTGTAACACACACATGCGCACGTACACACACACGTGTGTGTTACATATAATAAGAAATCTAACCTTGGGAGCTGCCACTTCCCCATCATTTACTTCTATTTAAATTTCTCTCAAAAGAAGTGGGAAATGGGTCTGTGTCTTCTTTGAACCTGATTGCCTTCTCACTTCTTTTTCCTCACCCTCAGTTTCTGTGGTTTATGGTCTCAAAATTAGGGGTCTCTCCCTCTCTCCCTCTCCCCCTCTCTAGTCCCTCTCTGTCCTTCCTTCCCCCTCTTTCCCCCTTCTCCCCACCTCTCATACTAGAGTGTCTCCTTCTATCTCTATCCTCAGGATGCTTGCTGTGGGCCAGCCTCGGAGGTGAAAGGTGACACCGTGGTATTCTTAGCACTTCAGTAATTCTGTCACCTTCGATGAGATTCATCACAGGCCAAACCCCATTCTCTATCAAAAAGTAAGAGTCTACTGCAAAATTACTACATTTTCCCTTTCACTTGTTTCATGACTCACTACTGGGATGCTTTTGCGTAATGCCCTCTGCTCCATTTCCTTCTGGGATGGGAAGAGCCTTCCCTGTGTGACTCCCAGGACCACTTTGCCCTGCCTGCTTTGCCCTCTGCTACTTTATGTCAACAGAGGCCACATGGCTCATACACCTCTGGTGAAGTGGTGCTTGGAATTCTTTGTTATAAGACAGACTTAGCTTTAATATTTTTTAAAAACACATCTTGGGTATGTATTGGAGGGGTTGTTTGGGATTTGTAGAATTGTGG